AGAGCAGGAGTGCCAGATGGGCCTGCCTTTCTCCCATTGAAAACCAGGAGGGCATTATGAAGTAAAAAAATATCCCTGGATGGGTATACAGCTTAAGCCTTGTATAATTGAAGTATGGTAAAAAATCTGCTTCAAAACTTAATAGATGGATGTCTACAGTGCACCTCCTGATTTTGCCAACTCATGACTGTGCTGAGGGTAAGAACTTTAATGGAGCCCCCGTGCCGACAAAACACATCAGCCAATCAAAATCTCTTAACTTCTATGACTTCATTAATTTGATCCTGTTTTCTTTCCAAAAGAAATTTGAAAGGAGGAGCTGACCTAAGTTTCTGATCTTAGGGTAGGCACACTTATTTTTATCTGCAATTATGTTTATGTGTAGCTTTTTGGTTATTTTTGTATAATTATTTTTATGAAAGCTAGCAAATGTTAGCTTGCCAGCTAGGTTAGTTGTTAGCTTGCCTTACAACAAATGTCATCAAATGTTGGCTACTTAGAACAAAAGTTATCATCCTCCAAAATACATAGCAATGTAGTATTATTTGTAAACTATTTGTAAATTTTTATAAAAGGTATGTACATGTTAAGGTAGCTAAGCTGTGTAATGTGTTTGCTACTGTCAGTTTAGCTTAAGACGTTTAGCTCTTGATTAACTTGTTTTCTTTAACAGAAAAAAATAGAAATCTGGGCATTGGTTTGAATGGATTCTGCCAAATATATATTATTTCTACAAAAATTAATGGTAAGCTAAACTCAGACAATTAGACTATCATCTTGGACAAGTTTGTTGTCCTGTGTCCATCATTGCCATTCTGTTTGTTGTCATTAGTCCATCATCGTCATGAGTGTTGTCCTGAGTCCATCGCCACAATGTCTTCCAGCTCCATCATCATGCATGGTGTCCTATATCCATTACCATCATCGTGTAAATGTTCTGTACTGTTTCAATCAATATCATGTGCATTGTTCTGAATCTATCATCATCATGTATGCTTTCCTAAGTCCATCATCTCCATCATATATTTTGTCCTGTGTCAATCATAATCATTTGTATTGTCTTGAGTGTTCCATTATCATCATGCTTTAAAATTTTATTTAAAAAGGTTAATAGCTTTATTTGTATAAAGCCTCTATTGATCTGCTGCTCTTTCTATCTACCTCATGAATAATAGGATTTCATTAACACTATTTTAATGTAACATACACACAATATGAAGTATGTCATGCCCATTCTACTGCAACTGAGAATCTGGCATGAGTGACCTTATAACATGTAATAGGTATGTAATGCCTTTTTATTTTTGTTATTTTATACAGACTGCAAGAAAATTATTTGATTGGAAAAGTAAATTTAATACAATCAGACACATTTATATATATATAGCACCATCAGATTTACAGGTATTTAATTTGTTGCAATAATGTCCATTAGTAAATAAGATAATGAGAAAACATTTCATATATGAGCCCACAATAACAACATCAACAAGTCCATGCCAGAAACTTGCTTAAAGGCCAGAATCAAGGCCAGTTCTAGCCCTATGGAGGCCCCAAGTAGGATTTATTTGCCACCTCATCCTGCTTGCTGATGTACTATAACATGACATCCTAATTAATAGCAATAGCTACCACAAGCTGTCTAAATTATACAAATTTGTAACTGGCTAATTTGTGTATTGTTTATTGGATGAATGTTTGTGGCTCTAATTAGTTTCAAATTAAATTACAGATAACCTTCTCAGCATTCTTGAACCAGGGTTCTGTCTCACCATGCAGTATTTCTTGCTTATCCAACTTTAAGCTTGATCTAACCCTAGTGGCAGTGGCAACAGTGGTACTTTTTACTGTTACAAATGCTTTACTTACTACATATTTAAGTTGTATGATTTCATTTTCCTTTTTCTGGTGACTCCTCCTTGTTTCACATTCGGCTGTTCATCATAAACGTTACTCTTTCATGTGTACCTGGATTAGTCAAAAAACTAACTAAAGCTTGTAAAAATAAGCATTAACATGGAAAATAAAGTGGATACAAAGTACTTGAATGACGCTACTGTATGTCTTACTTAAACCTGTCAATAAATTTGTGATCTGCTGTACATTTTGTTTTTCTGTTTGTGTAAAGAAAGTAATCATTCTCAAAATCAACATAAAATTCTAAATTACTTAACAACTCCAAAAGATATTATGTTATTGTAAGACAGAACTACTTAAGTAAATCCTCAACAAAAGATCTGTTGCAAACGGGCCAAAATTTGAAGTTTCTTCTTATTGTCTGTGTGGTTTTCCTGGAAAACTTTTTTTAATTTTTTTTATTTTTTTAAAACTTATTTCTTGATATTTCTGCAATATCACATGGACCTCAGGAACAGTACCCTTAGACTAACACCGGGGTGGTGGTCCCTATTTTTAAGAATAAGGGCCAGAGAATGTGTGCCATTTATCGGTATCACATTGCTCAGCCTCCCTGGAAATGTTTATGCCAAGGTGCTGGAAAGGAGACACTGACCGATAGTTGAAACTCCTAAAATGTACTCCGTAGCCCCACCTAGTGTTAATTGACATATATTTACATGCTGATCAACTTGAAAATGAAAAAGCAAAGTGGAAAATGAAAAGTAAATCACCAGCAGGTGGCGCCTATGTTAGTTTGCATTTGCCTTTTTTATTTCGACATTTAAAGCACGTTTATGCTTCATCCAACCTCTTTTTGTTTGAAGCTTTTTCTACTTCTGTATTTCCTTTCTTTCTTTCTTTCTTGCTTTAGCAGTGCAAGCTATTATGTCTACTTGATGTAATCTTCTCCGCAGTTTGTGTGAATCTAGCTCATTAAGTTTTAGCTGTGTGTATGTGTATGTAGTGCGTGAATAGGTTGTAAGGTAGGTTGGTAGATAGGCAGGTAGGTCATCCAATAATTTCATTCAGTCAAATGTTCTGTGGCCTCCACAGGTACTTTTGTTATTTTTTGTTGTCAAAGTATTTGACTTATTGAATGCTACCAGAATGTAAGAATGCAGAATGTATTTCAATAAATATGACAAAACATGTTTCAAAAATACATCACATTGTACATTGTGCTGTTCTGAATGGGGCACACAAATATTACTAGTAATTGTCTACAGGCCTCTGAAGTACAATTCTAACTTTTTTAATGAATTTACAGATGATAGCTATTATGTCTACAGATTTTGATCATTTTGTTATTGTTGGTGGTTTTAACATACAAATTGACAATTCCAATGACAGTTAGGGCAAGGAACTCTACATCTACATCCACCAAAGAGCCCATGTCCATGGTTAAACTGTCCCAGGTTAGTGCTATCTATAATGAAATTTTAATCAATACAGTGACTCACCTTAAATTCTCCACTTGTAGTCTTGACATGTAAACAATCAACCTTTTAAAGAACATGTTTCATTCAATAGCAGTGGACATACTTTAGATAGTAACCACCTTACTCATGTTGTGTGTTTTTCCTAACAAATTAAAAACTGAAGTTGTGAAGCCTTCACAAAATTTCCTGACTTTCTGTCCGTAAATGGGCAGCTCTAGACAAATTTCAGGCAGGAGTTCAGCTCAATCATCATACTGAAAAGGCTCTAATTAAAGTTATGACCTTTGCTTATATACAGACTCTGGAAAAACATCTCTTCTACTAATGCTCAATCTCAGTGCTGCCTTTGATACCAGTGACCATAAAATTCTCATACATAAACTTGAGACCTGGGTTGGGCTCTCAGGAACTGTCCTAAAACGGTTCAGTTCATACCTGCAAGGAAGGGACTACTTTGTGGAAATTGAAAATAATATTTTTGAGAGAGTGCCTGTGACCTGTGGTGTCCCCTAGGGTTAAATTATTGGGCCACTCATGCTGCCTCTTGGCCAAATACTACAAGACTATGGGATGTCTTACCATAGCTATGCAGATGATGCTCAGATCTATTTGGCCCTCTCCCCAAACAACTAAGGCCCCTTGACATCACCAACTGGATGGGACAAAACATTCTGCAGTTGAATAAAGATAAAACACTGATTATTGTATTAAGAACTAATTAGTTTCTATAGCAGTGTATGAAAGGTGCTATATAAATAAAATTGCCTTGCCTTGCCTGTTATCTATGCAAAGGGAGGCTGCACAAAGTGTGTACACGAAAGGGTGCCAATAATTATGGAACACAGATTTGAATCATAAGATTTAGGTTTTTTCAATCATTGTACTGAAAATTAAAAAAAATAAAAACTGTTAAATCGATTAGTTTTTTGTTAATTTTTTGATTGAAAGATCAAAAGGATAAGCAATGAAGAATGTTTTTAAAGCCTGTTTTGCTCATGTTTACCAGGGGTGCCAATTTTTGTAAGGGGCACTGTAATATAAAGGCTCCTGGAAGACCCCCTAAATAGAACTTTTTCCACACTTTATGACAAAAAGGGGTTGATGTAGTACACAACAATAGTTAATAACAAATTGTTCAAAATATACCACTCTGAACAGTCTTTATATAAAAAGACTTATTAAGATTTATTTGTTATGCCATGGAAACAAATGCATTTACACATATCGATTTATTTAGCCTACAGCAGTTTAGCCCTGCCTATTCATGCTGAAGTTCTGTAGTGTTTTAGCCTTGATAGCTTTTTGAAAGAGAAACAGTACAGAGTGACCAATCAGAACAGAGATTATATACATAAATTAGCCTTTCAGACATGTTAAAAAAAACAGCCTGTTTAATTACAAGGTGTAAAAGAAATGTTACTTACTTGGGAATTCCCAATAGTAGGTAATCCCCAATATTTTTTAACTCATCTTCAGAAAAAAAGCTTTCCACATGGAAATGAATAATTCTACATGCTTGCATTTTTTTAAAAAAAAATAAAACACATAAAAATGTACAGATTACATTTTGGCATTAAACACCTCCACCCAACATATGAATATGGTGTGTACCTCAAGATTTATCATAGCACTTAGCATTTCTTACACTTCATAGAGAAAAAAAAAAACACATTCTTCAGCAAAATCTATACATATGTTTTTATCAGAGATTTGGGTTTGAATTCACAAAGGCTTTAATATATTACAATATTACAGACTCACATAAAGCAGTTTGATACTCTGAGTTAAAACTCTTAAAAAGTCAATAACATATAACATAGAAACATAGCAATACATAAAAAAAAACTATCTCCCTGTTTTTCTCTGTTGGTGCAGTTTCAGTGGTTGAGTCTTATTTGCTCAGGTCTGTAAGAAGATGATAAACATGATTAGGGCAGAACACACACACACAATTATATTCATAAGAAATACACATTGTGTTGTTTTAACACATTTTAAATATTAAATATTATTGCAAGTATGGTCTGTATAATAAAATAGTATATATATATATATATATATATATATATATATATATATATATATATATATATGAGAATATATAATGATACATTTAGTTTTCTATATCAACATCATTTCATATACTGTTAATAGATAAATAAGGCTGATCATATTGGACTTTTGTGGACTCAAGGGAAATAGCACCATTTTTTATTTTTTAAGGCCTGTGATATCCAGCTTTTAATTTCCACAGTCATTATTAGCAAAGACAGATATGTCTGGTTTTAAAATCTTACACATGAAGCCATTGTAAACTGTTGCATGTACACACGGAAGTATGAACTTTTTACGTTTGTTTTAATCAGAGTCAAACTGTGAGCATGTCATTATGTGGCAATAATGTTAATTTCTACTAGCGCACTAATGGGATTTGCAGTTCTATGTTACTGCCAAGCTAACAGTAGTGCTATGTACTTGTTATAGTGATTACTACTGCGGTAAAATATTGTGTTATTTCTCTGTTTGCTTGCAATAGCCATTAGGTAATGTACATTTCAACCATTCATCCGTAGATAGTAGCTATGGCTAGACAGCTCATTCCCATCACTGCATCATACCCAGTGAGCAGTAAAATAAAGATTTTAATGTTTGTAACTCACTGAGTCTCATACATTTGAGCACGGGGAGCATTGTCGTACACTGGTCCATCCATAATTCTGCTCTGCTTAGTTTTCCTTCCTCTTCTAAAACAAATATTGTTATTTAGGACAGACACATGCATGTTTTTTTTTTCTTTTCCGCTTTTTACTTGATATGGTGTAGACTAGTGTATTTACCGTATTTTTTCTTACCTTCTCCAAAAATATACAGCAAGAAAAGCTGCAATCCCACAAAGTCCAAAGGCAACAGCTACATACAGAATTATAAAATAGTCTGTAGAGTGATACACACACACACACACACACACACACACAGAAACACAAAGCAACATTCATGAAATTGAACGTTTACTAATCTGTCAACTTTTGAAAAGTGTAACAAATTAATAAGTTAAACCTTAGTAAAACCATGGCTCAGCAGATTTAAGCAGGTTTAAATAACATGTTTTACCTGGTTAAAACCTCAGTTAAACCTCATATACAGCACCATCTAGTGACAGATTTGTGTGATTTCTAACACTTACAACCCATGTACTTGCGCATAGCTGAATTTTAGCCTTAGATGTGACACATTTATCACAACACTCAGCAGACCCCACACAATCTAGCCAGCATGAGATCATCACATTTTTAGAGTGTATTTACATGCGCTTAATAATCTGATCATAAACGATTCAGGTGGTCATGTAAACAACATCTGATTTCTTAGATCGAATTAGGGCTTAAAAATCCTATTAAGAAATCCGGCAAAGAGAGCTACCAGTTACCAGATTTTTAGCGCATGTATACTCTTTATCCGAGTATACATGTGAAAATGTGAAAAGAGACTGCTGTACCAGAAATAGCAAGCAGCATTTAACACAACACCCATGACATGAAATGAAGGGTTTAAATATTCTTCCTCTTCTACATGATGTATATTCATATTTTCTGATGTATACAAAAATGATAAAGGGGTGGAAAAGTATCATGATTCAAATATCAGAACATTTATGATAGTAAACATGCAATTCAATTTTAAATTTCAGCTCAGAGACATAATAGATGATTTCTGAAAAGGTATCTGAGTTGACACTTCATTAAACAAATTAAGTTTACAAGAATTTGCAGGCATTAAGTAAAATTTTAGCATTTGCATATCAAATAATGACATACATGAGTAGCACAGGGTTTTCCTAAAAATAAGGACATGTGGCATGTGCGACTGTCTCATAAAAAGTCTTAGTAATTGTACTTGTAATTGACCAAAATGCCAACACAAAGACACAAAATTGCCCTAGGTTTCTAACAGTTAAATGGACCAGGACCATGCTTGAGCAAGAAAAACTGGCATGGAGTAAAGCATGTAATATAGCTTCATTTGGAAAATTATGTAACCATTGGTCTTTATTAAGGCAAGAAAATTGTGAGAAGGTAAGACACCTACTACTGTTTGTATTTGATTCTCCAGCACTGGATGCAGAGGTCAGGGAGGTCACACCTGAAGAAAGAACATATTACAACAGATATGAAGGCCTAATAATTATTAGCAAAACTGAAAGGGGTGTGAGTTCTAAAGGAGTTGTCATGTGAACAAGAACTGGTCTGAGATTTCATCAGTGCTAAAAACGACGAGAAAGAAAACAGAATCCTCTTTAAAGTTTGACGGGGACATCCAAAGCATACAACTGTTAATAAAAGACCTTTTTATACATTTAAAGTCATGACCACTTAAATTAAATCTAGGTTCTAGTCTGGATGGCTTCAAGTTTTGTAGTCTTCAGTCCAGATTGGTCTCTTCCTCATATACAAAAAAAGCAGTACGATAGTAGTTGATCGCTAAATGGATACAATACTTCGCAACCAGCTAAGGCTAAAGCCCGAGCTTATAAACTAAACTGTACAAGTCATATGACCAACAATACAGGTGTTTGACATTAGTACTCCGGTGATCCGGAGCGCTGACTGGAGCGCAATGACCTGCCAGGAGTCAGGTGATTTCCCGGAGGATTCTGGGAGATGGAGTCCGTATGAGTTTCTGCATTAGAGGGAAGTTCAGAAGTCATGTGATCTCCCAGAGAAGTCTGGGAGATCGAGTCCAGATCCATGCTGGGACCTGGTGGATGCATGACAGTAAGTTATGTAAAGATTAAAATAATTCTCTAGAAACTTACTTGGAGTTGTGGTCAGTTTAGTGCCATTGGCAGTTTTTGTGGTAGAAACTGGTGTAGTGGTGCCCACAGCTGGAAAAAAAGTCAAAAAAGAAATGACCATTACCTAAATTAAAGGTTAAATGCCTGTTGTATAGTAAAATTGTAGCACTTTAAATAATTAGTTGCTATCAGTATTTTTCAATATTCATTTTTGCAGTTTCCAACTGAAATATGTTCATATTTTGCTCATATGAATTTCTTTGAGAACTTATACTGCAATCTTAGAGTTTTTGCTTTCTTAGACAAAATGTACTTCAATTAAAGGTTAAATTTCTATCATATTTTCAGTGTAAGTTTGAGCTGATTCTACAATGTAAGCCTGAAAAACACTAGTAAAAACCACTGGAAATGTGTGAAACAGTCAGACTACCTGCACAGTAAGATCTACTGCTTTGATGAATAAGCTTGGATGTCTAAGAGCTCTGCAGAGTACTGCATGTTTTTCTCTCTCAAAGTGAAAGTCAGAACTTTAACTTTAGAGATAGGACAAAACCCCCCTTTAGCATACTACCTCATTTTTTATCAAAACCATTTGTCTTGGCAATAACACTGCTTTTGCTTGTAAAATCGGTATATATCAATACAGTAAATGCAAATAAACAAACACAGTGAAAAATAATGAGAATGAATAGCTTGTGAGCTAGTTAAAAGGAGAAATTTGGTTCCAGATCTTAGATCTCTCAGCCATCACACAGAAGTTTTCATTTACATCTGCTTTTTAAAGCTGCATTTTCAGGTGTTTAAAATTGTACTGCATATATATCTGAAATACACATGTGCTGATCTTTTCATCACCCCACATGCACAAAAATAATCACATTTTTTAAAAACGTTCTTTCCATCATCAAAAATAAGAAGTAAAATTACTGATATTTGACATTTGAAATATTTGGGTTGTGGATTATTCCCAGCTTTGACACTGATTTGGTAGTGACATGTTTGTGTGTTGCAGTGGTATCAGATACTAGAGGTTCTGGGGGTTTTAAACACTGTACAATTAATGGCCACTTTATTACACACTCAGATTGCTGTAGTTAAGCCACTGATGCAGACATTGAATAATTCATTAAGATATGTCCATAGCTTTCTCCAGAATGGGATACACAATCTGACATTTTTCCACTCTCCTGCCCCAACACGACTGATCCAGCTTTTAAGGGGCTCGGTAATTAGTTGGTGAGCTGGATCAGGTGTTTTAAGGTTGAATCAGTTGAATTAGTGCAGAGCTAAAGTCCCCAGAAACAGGGTTTAAGATTTAAACAGCTGGAAACGCTTGCTTAGTTAGCTCTTTAGTGGACAATGCTGAGCTAGTTATCTAGTGCTGACATCTACAAACCCAAAAGGTGCTTCAACAGCTAAGCTTATCTAATATCCTTAAAATGACATTAATAAACATGACAAACATTGCTTAAAAAACCCAGCACAATCCTCTGTTGCAATACTACACTCTGTACAAGGTGCTCTGCCATGTTCAAGGCAGAATACGGCTCTCAGAGTGGGCGGTTAGAAGACCTGTCACTCCAATTCAGTTGGCCAATAGAACGTCCAGGTCAGTGGCCCCTTCAAAGACTACGCCTTGTAATCTTTAGTATGGCCTAGACTACTATATTTGGAATTTTTCTTCATATTCCAAAGATGTGGAGTTTAAGATGAATCCCACTTGTTTGCTACTTAGGCTGTGATGATGTAAATGTTAAATATTTCATAACACCAGAATTTTTATCATCCAAAACTGTGATTTTTACAATAGTAGACTACATAAGCTATAAAAGACAATTCTCCAAATGCACTGAAAGTTTATATTTAGTTATAAAATACAGTGTTTAACACTTACCAACAGTGATACTGGATGAAAGGATATTCAGGAAAACCTTAGAATCATTTATTGCTGATTTCAGTGAATTAGTCAGGACTGTTGCATTTGGAAGAACTGTTTCATTTTTAAAGATTAGCTGAGAGTCCACACCCACTGAACCATTCCTGCAAATGGAGGAAAAGTAGATTTAGCCATCCGTTATTAGCAGATTATAGTATCAACATCTATTTTAAAACAACCATTCATAGTGTGCTGAAATTTTCACATTGCTAAAAAAAACAAATCAAACTCTAAATATGTCAGAGAATCATATTATGTTTGCCTAGTCCAAATGTAATTGCATGATGGTTATTACATGTAAAGAGGTCAAATGACAATTTAGCTGGGCCTTTTAAAAAGAAATGCAACCCCTAAAAACCCCAGTCTTTTTACATACTAAGGCTTATTATTCATTAACTAAAGGGACTTCAATGCGATTTAGGTAAGCGATTCTTTTATACATAAAACATATATATATATATATATATATATATATATATATTTATTTATTTATCTACCCACCGTTGGTGCCATGGCCATGTAACACGTTAACTTTAAAAATTAGTGAATCTTTTTGACTGGTAAATGGAGCAGGGTGACAATTTATATGAAAGCAGGATCGTTCTCATCAAAATGCAGATTAAATTTTTGTAAAAATCACCAAAAATCATACTAAAAGTTACCCATTGTAAAGTATATTTTAAATACCATAGTGCTTTTTTTAATGAACTTATGCAAATGTTAGCTTGCAACAGTATATGTCTCAGGGCAGTAAGTAACATCTGGATTGGTGCTGTGAAAATACTCTTTGCTGAATGTACTTGTTTGTATTTACAGTAAAAAAAACAAAAACAAACAAACACTTGTGAGAGTATATATCTTTGTGCAATATAAGATTAAGGTAATTGCTCACTGCTGAGTCTTAGCGATTGATTTTTATACGGTGATGTGATTAATGCTGAAAATACTGTACCAGAGTCTTATGACATAGCATCGGAGAAATGTGAGGGGAAACAGCTCTCTAAAGCCTCGGCTCAGCTACACATGAAAAGACAAGTAGTTAAAATACAAACATTCAACATCAGAGACTGCTGATACTTCAACATCAGCTTCCTGTCCATTTTTCAGAAATTTACTGGTACCAAAAAACACTATATCACAGTTTCTCCATTATTTATATATATAAAACAATAGTCATTACTTTATTACCTCAGCAGTGATATTGCTGACCAGAGTATTGTACTCGATTGAGGAAGGATCACTGTAAGCGGGAATGAAGATTTGCTGGATTCGAATTATTAAAATAATCACTCCTTCTCCTCCTCTAGCTGGCACCGCCATGGTTATAGTAGCTGGAGTAGATGACCAAATGGCAGCAGTAGAAGCTTTTATTGCTGTTGGTGCTGCAGTTGTGGCTGTAGAGGCTGCAGTGACTGGGGATTCAGGTAGAACTGCAGTCACATTTGAGTGGGCTCTTGGTATAGTTGGAGACACAGTTGTCTCAGTTCTGGGTGAAGTGACCTGTTCTTCTGTTACAGATATATCAGGTGAAGTTTCTGATGAAGATCCTGTCTTTGAAATATTATCAGTTGTGGACATCAACATAGTATTTTGAACAGATTCAGTTGAAGATTCGGAGACAAGAAATCTTTTTGACTCAGTAGTAGATGAAGGAGCCTGACCTCTGGTAGGTGATGTCAATGGTGATGTTGGCGCTGAACTTGTATCGGTGGTATGGTCAGGTGTAGCTGTGGCAGACTGACTCAGTTGACGAGTGAGAGAAACTACAGCAGTTGAAAAAGACCCAGCAACAGAAGATCTTTCTGGTTCAGTAGTAGGTGAAGGAGCCTCACTTCTAGTAGGTGGTACCGGTGCTGAACTTGTATCCGTGGTATGGTCAGCTGTAGCTGTGGCAGACCTACTCAGTTGACCAGTGGTAGAAACTACAGTAGTTGAAAAATCAAGTGTATCCTGTTTCACAGATGTTGGTTTAGTTGATGTGAATAAGGTTTGGATCAAAGTAGATGTTGTTGTAGGCATGAATATTTCTGGTTCAGTAGCAGATGAAGGAGCCTGACTTCTGGTAGGCGATGCTGGTGCTGAACTTGTATCCGTGGTCTGGTCAGCTGTAGCTGTGGCAGACTGACTCAGTTGACCAGTGGTAGAAACTACAGTAGTTGAAAAGCCAAGTGTATCCTGTTTCACAGATGTTGGTTTAGTTGGTGTGAATGAGGTTTGGATCAAAGTTGATGTTGTTGTAGACATGGATCTTACTAGTTCAGCAGTAGATGAAGCAGCCTGACTTCTGGTAGGTGATGCTTGTGCTGAACTTGTATCGGTGGTCTGGTCAGCTGTAGTGGTGGCAGACTGACTCAGTTGACCAGTAGTAGAAACTACAGTAGTTGAAAAATCAAGTGTATCCTGTTTCACAGATGTTGGTTTAGTTGATGTGAATAAGGTTTGGGTCAAAGTAGATGTTGTTGTAGGCATGAATATTTCTGGTTCAGTAGCAGATGAAGGAGCCTGACCTCTGGTAGGTGATGCTGGTGCTGAACTTGTATCCGTGGTATGGTCAGCTGTAGTGGTGGCGGACTGACTCAGTTGACCAGTAGTAGAAACTACAGTAGTTGAAAAATCAAGTGTATCCTGTTTCACAGATGTTGGTTCAGTTGACGTGAATGAGGTTTGGGTCAAAGTAGATGTTGTTGTAGAAGTGGGCCGTTGCCCTGCCATGGTAGACGTTTGTTCATGAAGTAACTGTGTTGGAGTTACTGGTTCCATTGTAGTTAGAGAGTCGTCTCTGGTCAAAAACTCTGATGCAGTCACAGCTGTTGTTTTCATTTCTGTTGATGTTACTTGCCTAACTGTGGTTGAAGTGTCTGGTAAACTTACAGGAGTAGGTGTTGATATTTCTTCAGAAGTTTCAGTAGATATAGGAGTTAAAATAAATCAAATAAAATTAATTTTTCTGCATATAATCTAGAAGCATATTTGAAAGTGACTAAAGTAAAAATGTTACATTAATGGTCACAAACTAATTTAGAATTATATACTAATATTCAATTAAATAATTGCATGAGTCCAAATAGAACCCCTTTGGTACCTGTAAACTTACAATATTATGATAACAGTAAAACAGATACTGTTGATATGTGTATATTTGATTTTGTTGCTTATAAAGGCAACTGTTTACATAGGTCTTTGAATATGTAGTCTGTGTTAGGCCTAACCAGTACATCCACTTTCTAAGTTTCTGCTGTTATTCACAGAGAAGTGTGTACAGGCTGCTCTTAGTCATGAAGTGGTACTATTACACCGTTAATTATTTAATTAGTAATGAAAATCATCACTTTACTTGAAGGGACACAGAAAGGTGTTAATAGTGAAAATGTGAGGACAGTGAGGCAGCTGAATTTGTGCAGGTGAAGAAAGGTGCACAGTAAAGACCAAGCACTGTGTTTCACATAAGATGGTGGAGGAAAATATAATGATGAATCAGTAGATTGACTAAGAGATAATTAACAGGATTATTATTTATTTGTATGAGTAAATGCACTTATCAGTTTATTAACAGTATAAAAATGAGCAGTTAGTGCAAAACTAATGTGTAATTAAGCTAGGATCTAATAAAAAACTGAACAGTCAGTTAATGGTGTACTCAGTTACTAATTAATAAGTAGTCAATCATAAACTAAGGCTTAATGTAATGAGACAACAATCTAAAACAGGTTTTCTGGATGACATAGCAATTTGTTAGTTGTATTTTAGTTCTTTTAGTTCTGGTATTAGTTTAGTTTGTTTTTTTAATGAAAAAATGTCAGGATGTGATAATAGTAATAACTAGAAAGGGAAAGTTTGTGAACAAATTTTAATTTGGCTTAAAAAATCCAGCTAAGTATGTTAAAACATTAAAATGGTGAAAGACTGTTGATGGTTGCTAAAGTGTTGCTTAAATTTTGCTAGGCAATTGCTACGGTATCCAAGGTGGAGGGTAATGTTTTGCTAGCCACTGCTTTAAACTACCATCTGCCATCTTAAATTTCCTGATATCTTAAATACTTGCCATGTTAAATTTTCTAAAACCTTATGGTTACTGCCACATTAAATTCCATGCTACCGTAAATTCATTGCAACCTTAAATTTCCTGCCACCTTAAAGTCACTGCCAGCTTAAATATATAAATATATAGTATAGCCTAGTCTACTATGCTCAGATTTTCTCTTCATATTCCCAAAATGTGCAGGATAAGAGAAACCACGCTTGTTTGCATTGCAACATGGTGTCATTTAAGCTGTGATGATCTAATTGTTCAATATTTTATAACATCAGAATTTTAATTATCCAAAACTCAAAAAACAGTGATCTTTACACTGACAGACTATATAAACTTTGAAAGAATATTCTCCAAATGCACTGAAAGCGTATATTTAGTTATAAAATACAGTGTTTAACACTCACCAGCAGTGATACTCGATGGAATGATATCCAGGAAAACTGTAGAATCATTTATTGCTGATTTCAGTGAATCAGTCAGGACTGTTACATTTGGAAGAACTGTTTCATTTTTAAAGATTAGCTGAGTGTCCACACCCACCGAACCATTCCTGCAAATGGAGAAAAAGTAGATTTAGCAAAACTTTATCAGCAGATGATGGTATGAACAACTATTTTAAAACCACCACTCATAGTGTACTGCAATTTTTACATTGCTAAGAAAACAAATCAAACTCTTTACTCTTCAGCGCATCATACAAAGTTTGCATTGGCTCTAAATGCTGAAACATATTTTAAAGAGTGTGCCCTTACTCCCCTGAGTCCAAATGTAAGTGAATGATGATTATTACATGTACAACAAATATTTCAAATTAGAATATATATATAAATAAAACATCAGCTGGGCCTTTTAAAAAGAAATAAATTTGAAATTAATATATATATATATATATATATATATATATATATATATATATATATATATATATATATATATAACAGTATATGTTTCAGGGCAGTAAATAACATCTGTATAGGTGCTATGAAAATATATTTATACGGTGATGTGATTAATGCTGAAAATACTGTACCAGAGACTTATGACATAGCATCGGAGAAATGTGAGGGGAAACAGCTCTCTAAAGCCTCGGCTCAGCTACACATGAAAAGCCAAGTAGTTAAAATACAAACATTCAACATCAGAGACTGCTGATACTTCAACTTCAGCTTCCTGTCCATTTTTCAGAAATTTTACTGGTACCAAAAGTCATTATATCAGAGTTTCTCCAGAAATGATCATTTGATAAATTAATGCAAAGATCATATTATGCAATTAGGGAGAATCACAAAAAATCATTATTTAAAACAATTGTCATTACTTTATTACCTCAGCAGTGATATTGCTGACCAGAGTATTGTACTCAGCAGAGGAAGGATCACTGTAAGCGGGAATGAAGACCTGCTGGATTCGAAGTATTAAAATAATCACTCCTTCTCCTCCTCTAGCTGGCACTGCCATGGTTGTGGTAGCTGGAGTAGATGACCAAATGGCAGCAGTAGAAGCTTTTATTGGTGTCGGTGCTGCAGTTGTGGCTGTAGAGGCTGCAGTGATTCGGGATTCAGGCAGAACTGCGGTCACATTTGAGTGGGCTCTTGGTATAGTTGGAGACACAGTTGTTGTCTCAGTTCTGGGTGAAGTGACCTGTTCTTCTGTTACAGATACATCAGGTGAAGTTAATAATGAAGATCCTGTCTGTGAAGTATTATCAGTTGTGGACATCAACATGGCACTTTGTACAGATTCAGTGGAAGACCCAGGGACAGAAAATCTTTCTGGTTCAGTAGTAGATGAGGGAGCCTGACT